AGCGGAAGAAACTACTTTTTATGCCAACCCCAAAGCTACCCTGAAGTACACGCATGAATCTTAGGGGTGAGAGACATAAGGTACTAGAAAGCAAACAGGTTTTATAGCCAGACAGACTGGGTTCAAATCTTGGATCTGTGCCTTGGACAAATCACTTAACCTCACTGAACTGAAGATACTTGATTTGTAAACTGGAAGACAGTCAGAGCTATCTCCAAGGGGAAGATTAACTATGATCACTCCCTTATTTTTGATTCAGCAATTATCATTGCCCACCTTATACCTGATCTTATTCTAAGGGTTTGGGGATAAAACATTGAACAAGCAAGGCACCTGCTCTCATGAAGTTTACATTCTAGTAAGGAGAGACAGATAGTAACACAAACCCCAAATCAATAAAAGATGCCAAAATAAAAATAAAATACTGAAGTAATTGAGGGTTGCTGTAGTTTCTGTGTGTTTTCTCCTCGGTCCAACCTATCTAGTAAACCAGAACCTCATTTTCATAAGCCCCTTACCTAAGTCAGTGGGCCCTTGGGAAGAGACTCATGACTCCAATCTCAAAGGCCTAAAGTAACTTCTCTAGAGATATTTGCATATTAGTAAGAGGTTAAACCTTAGATCAGATTTTTACTTTACTTTGCTGGTGGGCTTTTAGGCTTTTTGTGGCCAGGAGAGGTGGTATTTAGGGCCAGGTAGCTACTTGCTCAGGCTCTGCCTGAGAACATTCTGTTTCTGTACGTCTTGCAGAAGTTATTGCTGGGATCCTGAGCCCTTGCTGGGGTCATTATTTAATGCATCAGAATTTGTGGCTAGCAGGAACTGGCCCTGATCCTGCCCTTCAGAAACAAAACGTGGGTTTGCCAAGAAAGATTCCAAGGTGATGAGCATTGCCACTTTTAGCCTAAGCCTTCTAGGAACACCTCTGTGGGTTCAGCTGCTCCAGGCCACTCCTAGCCCGGAACAGTGTTCACCAGTAGGTGAAACAGGCACACGTTTAAGGTGCTGGCAAAATGGGGACTCACACATGCATAAAAAGTTAGTTTTCAAAAACTTATCCAGAATTTTGAAACCACAAAATCCTTGAAAGATGGTATTCTCTCCTAGTTAATATGTTTTCTGATATACTGAATTTGAATCACATACAGGTGAGGACTTCAAAATCATTTGGGATTCAGGGCCTTTAACTGTCTTAATCTGCCCTACACCAGCCCAGAAACATCCCCTCACCTCAGTTCTCAAAATTGGCATGCAAAGTCTTTCCCCAATCTGGGGTTCAGGCCAGAGAACAGAGGATGTGTTATATTTCTTGTTATACTGAAGTTCCCTATCTTGCAGAGTGAGCAGGAGGTGATGGTGGTAATTGGTGCCCCGGATTTATTAGGGCAAATCTCCGGGAAGACAGAGGTCTCCTGGACCACAGGGCAATTCATTTTACATAAGGAAATATCTTGTTTTCCTGCTTCTGGTCTTGACCCTTGGCCCCGTTGCCGTTGTAAGAGGCAAAAATAAGAGCCAAAGCCTGGAGACAAGAGTGTGGTGACTGAAGCTCCACTTGGCTTCCCAAGCCCATGCTGGTTGCACGAGGCTCCCCAGGGTGGACCTGAGGCAGTTGCCAGGGGCACATGCCTGCCCATTGGTCTCTGGTCCTCGCCATGCTGGCCAATAGGAAAGGACAACTGTGAGGTGGGGACCACCTGCCCCCATGAGTACCAGGCTGCTGAGACTGGGCCATCTCCTCCTCACTTCCATCCTGACTGAAGTCTGTGGCTCTGATTCCACACCTGAGGGTAAGGACAATTGATTCAAGTTCTAGGCTGGAGGGGAAGTGGCTGCCCTGCCGTGGAGCCCCTGGCTGGGGTGTGCCTACACTGTCCTGTTAGCAGGGTAGGGAGGGATACAGGCAAAACCCTGGCCAGGGCAGCACTGACGGACGCAGACAGGCCTCGGGCTTCTTCCTCGGTTCTCCCACGGCTCCAAGAGAAAAGGGACTGTTCTGTCTGGTCAAAATGCCTGGGACCATCCTGAATTTTGCCCAATTCACTCTGTGGTAAGATGCCTAACCAAAGAGAAGTTTGGGGTCAGTGAAGTTGGAGGGATGGTCCAGTGATAGAGTCCAATTAGATAAGAGGAGAAGGGGACAAATCACTTAGCTTGACCAGGTAGGGCGGAGAAAGAAACATGAAGAAAAGCAGCCTGGGGAAAGCCTGAGCTCCGATCTCAGCCTGAGTCTGGAATCCAACCCCAGCGCTGGATTCTACTCAGCAATATTTATTGAGCAGATTCCACGGGTCAGACACTGGGTAGTGTTCGCGAGGTACAAGGATGGGTGAGGCAAGGTTGGTATGTGTAGATTTGGGGGTATCTGTAAATATGGGAATATCTACCCCGCTGTGGGGATATCTCACAGGATGATTGAGAAGTGCAAATGAGGTAAAGTGAGCAAGGGGCCTGGCATATACTGGCAGCTTATGAACAATCTTATTTTTAGCAGACATCTTCTGACAGAAACAACTGGATCTACCTGGCCTTTGTCAAGCCCAATCCTGCTTGCCCCAGTGAGCACTGAACGTGAGGCCTCCTGGTTGTTTCCAGCCATAGATGCAGAGGCCTGAGTGGCAGGGATTTTAGAGATCAGGCCAGCCCTTGTCTGAGGATGTGGGTCCCTGGTCTGGGGAGGTTCTGGTTTTCAGATCAAGCCTACGAGGGGTGCAACTGCCTCACTCCTGGTGACTCCTGCCATTGGGGGTAAAGCCACCTCCTCCTGACAAAGTTGGAAACAGGGAGGCCTTGACGCTGACAGAATATGTCCAGAGGAGCATGAGGGTGTCAGCTTTGTCCCTGAAGCTGAGCAGTGGAAAGGGAGCCTGCAGCTTAATTGTCTGTCCTTGTCGCCTCCCTCCTTTCATTCTTGAGGAGTTGTAAAGAGGGCCACAGGACTTGCTTCTTGTCCTTTCAAAGGTGGCTGTGGGGACAGACTTCCATCCTACTCCTTGTCAAGCTGGGGACCTGTGGCCCCAGACACTTTGCTGAGGTCAGGAGGTAGAAGCTTTGGAGCCTAGAGGCTTTCAGTCAGGAACTCCTTCAAGTGGAGAGAGACTGATGCCAAAAATGTGTGTGTGTGTGTGTGTGTGTGTGTGTGTGTTGGGCACAAGGATGCTGAAGCTTTCATGTCATCCTCCTGGGATCCAGGCAGAGCCTAGCTGATTCCTGGTTCTGCCATTCATCATTAGGTTGCACCATGTGAAATTGCCAATATTCTACCATTTTCGACCTTTAAAAATGGCAGTTTCATTTAATTCAACCCAAGAGTTGCATGATCTTAAGCCAGCATCTTGGTCTCTTTGAGTCTCAGATTCTTCTAGAGAGTGGAGTCAAAAGCAGGGCTATGAGGAGGATTAAACGAAATACAGTCTGAAACTGACTTAGGCAATTTATACTGCAAAGAACCCTTACCAATTTCAAAGTGTTCTCATGTTCCTCGTGATCTCATTTAGCAGATTATGAAGCTGAGCCTGAGAAGCCTTTTTCGAGGCAGTGTAATGTGACGGAAATCTCTCACGGATGTTCTCCTTAATCTCTCAGTTTCCCCATCTCTACAGTGGGGGTTATTTTCCTTGCTTCATGGAGTTCTTGTAAAGATTAAAATAAATAACAAATAGCATAAGTAATGTGTAAAAGTTCCTAGTGTGAGAGCTGGTTTCTATGAGGATCCAATAAATGTATCCCTTTCCTCCCCCTTAGCCTCCCATTTGTAAAAGCAGGGCAGGGGTGAGATGATTTCTGGGGTACCTTTCAGCTCTCTGGGACTCTGTGATCTATGCTTTAATGTCTTTTCCTGCTGGAGGAATTGGCACCGGGTCTGGTGACCTCTTTCCCCCATCCCACTCTGTCTCCTGCCTGTCCCAGAGGAGACCCCATCCTTGCATTTCACAAGATTCTGCTGTTGTTACTGTAACTCCAGCAGGTCAAAGTGGAATATCTCATACACTTAACAAGTGAAAATGAGAGATTGTAATATGGCCCTTTAGGATCCAGAGATCATCATCGTCATCCCCTTGCATTATTTTGAAAGCAAGGAGAGCCATGCCTGTACACAGTGCACCATGAAAGTTAGTACGGTAGAAAGAACTCAGGTTTTGGATTTCAGATTTCACCTCTGCACTCTTTTACTTGTGATCCTTGAGCAGAAATTACTAAACCTCTTTGGTCCTCGGATTTCTCATGTGGGAACTGAGTCCTAACCCCCAGGAGCTGTGGAGGTTAAATGAGATTAAAGGGGTGGTGAGTGTACAGTGGGGATCCACAGCAAGTCGTCCATAAATATTTGCTTGCTTCTCTTCACTTATATGTGTGGAACACTTTATAAGTTTTTAAAATACTTCTTCATAATTTTAGTCTACTGGTTCTCACAACAATATTATGAAATAGGCTAAGAATAAATTCATGAAATATCACCTTTGGGGAATTCCCCAGTCGTCCAGTGGTTAGGACTCTGCGCTTCTATTGCAAGGGGGCATGGATGGGTTCGATCCCTGGTCGGGAAACTAAGATCCCGCAAGCTGCACATGGTGCCGCCAAAAAAAAAAAAAAGAGTTAAAAAAAAGAAATAATCACCTTTGCCTGCAAAGAGCATGAGGTCTGGAAAGTGGGTGGGGAGAGTTAAGTCACCCAGTAAGTTACTGGTGGAGCCCAGACTAGAAGCCAGGTCACTGCATCATAGTCTGGAGGTTTCTTCACATTATTTTCTCTTCTATCCCCCATCCTATGGAGTGGAATATTAAAAGGCAGATGTGTGACCTTGATGCTGCTTTCCTTTCTTGGGATATGCCTCAGGGTCCATTGCTGGGTTTCAGAAAACCAGAATTTGATTTCCAGCTCCTCTACATTTAGCTCTGGGATCTTGGACGAGTCACTTAACCACCCTGAAACTCACTTTTATCTCTAGAATGGGTATATTCATACAATAGATGACATTTATTGAGCTCCGACACATGCCTGGCACTGTTCTAAGTATTTTATGTGGAGTGTGCCTTTTAATCCTCCAACAAACATATTACTGAAACATGTTACGAGGAAGAACAAATTATTTTCACCCAACCACTGAGGTCATAGAACCTGTGCTCTGTATTCTACCTCAACTTGTCCCTCAAAATTGTGAGAATTAGGTGGGATATTAAGTGAGGTGAGGACTTTACAAAAGGCTTTCTACAAAGACAAGGAATTAGGTGGTACTTGGGATTAGCTTCATGACCCATGTAAATGGTTTCTTTATAGGCACGATTGAATCTTAGAATATAGTTCTAGATTACAGTTTTATTTAATAAATAAAACCTCTCTTTAGAAAGAGAGGTCTTTCACATTCAAAATGTAATAATTGCTATATCTAAACAGAGAGCACAGATAATTTTGGAATAAATTGTTTGAAATTTCGGCATCTCTGCACTGACCTTCAATTATTATCAATTGCTAATTTTTCCGTCCAGAACTTGGTTAGACGACAACCTTCTTCTTCAATCAGAATCGCTTCTTAGCATCAGAAACATCCTAGGATTGTGTGCCCATCTGCCCCCAATCCCTCCTTCCATTACTGTCACCGCATGTTACTGTCACGGAACCCAGACTGGCTGCCCCTATGAATGGAGAGATCTGTCCATAACACTGTAGTGTTGAGCACAGAATGCCTTCCCTTGGGCTGGGAAAATAGAATCTTTTTTTTTTCAAATTTATTTATTTTTTATTTTATTTTATTTATTTTTGGCTGTGTTGGGTCTTCATTGTTGAGCACGGGCTATCTCTAGTTGGGGCCAGCGGGGGCTACTCTTCATTGTGGTGTGTGGGCTTCTCGTTGTGGTGGCTTCTGTCGTTGCGGAGCACAGGCTCCAGAGCGCAGGCTCAGTAGTTGTGATGCATGGGCTTAGCTGCTCCACGGCCTGTGGTATCTTCCCAGACCAGGGCTCGAACCCGTGTCCCCTGCATTGGCAGGCAGATTCTTAACCACTGCACCACCAAGGAAGACCAGGAAAATAGAAACTTGATGTTTGAAAGAGGAGGAGGAACCAGAGAACTCTAGAGACCTGACTTTTCACTCCTTCTAATGGTTTGGAGGAAGCCCCCAGTCACCCTCTTCTTTGGGGCCCTCTGTAGCTGCCTTCACTGGTTCTTATATTCTGGATTCTCTCCTTCTGTTTCCCTGTGGAAAAGAGCATAGCCCTCCTCATTTCTGGAAAAAGCAAGCACAGAGCCTCTCGGTGGTCTTCTTAGGAGTTTTGCTGCTAACCCCATAGAGGAAAAGGATGGAGGTGACAAATTGTGGGAAGGTTGGATGACATATAAAGTCTTAAAAATCTCAGAACAAGTATTCTCCTTAAACACAAAAGGGGCTTGGCTGGTCTTTTCTCCTTGGCTTCTCGTCTAACTCCCCTCTTTCTTCTCATCTTGGGACAAGCCAAGCTTAAACTCTCTCTCATTTTCATTTTATTTCCAGCTGTTATTGAGAACACCCCTTGAGACCTCCAATTCCAGTAGAGGCCAACAAAGGTACATGTTAATGGTAAAAGAAAACCTTGACTAGGGACTCATGACCACCAGGGGGCAGCATCTATCCCTCTCGGCACCTGTCTCAGTTGTCTTGCCTGTCTCTCCTCTCTGTCTGCTGGTCTCATTCTCAATTCTCACTCTACTTAAGATGATATTAGAACTTGATATTTGATAAATGATGCATCAGACCAACAGAGATAAAAAAAGGTTAATTTAATTAAATGTCTTTTAAACAGTTTTCAAATAGGAAGAAATCATTTGAGTATCTTGGATCACAGTTTATACCAACACAAAATATCAGAGATGGATTAAAGAATAAAATTTAAAATACACCAAACAATAGAAGAAAATAAAGTACTCACCAAACTCTAGTATGGAGAAGGACCGTTTAACACTTAGAAGCAAAAAACAAACAAAAATCCAACAGAGTTGGCTATATAAAAACTAAAACTTCTGTCACCTAAAACTCAGGATAAGCAAGACAAAAGAATAATCTTTACACTAGAGCTAATAGTCATAGCACATATGACAAAGTGTTGGCATAAAGAACTCACACAAATTAATTCAAAAAGCACATTGTGTCCCTAATAAATTAACTGATAAAGAACACTAACAGAGATATCAAAAATGAAGAAATTAAATTAGGAAATAGGCCTTTAATAAAATGTACAACTCACTAATGATCATAATGCTCACTAAACTAAGAACAACAAAAATGTTTGTAATCATTATATCCAAAGCTGGTGAGGGTAGCTAAGATAGGCTCTTCATGTACACACTGATGTATTACCGGGGAACAGCATGACAAACTGTAATTTGGGAATATCCATCATAAGCCTTAAAAATTTTCATACCTTTTGGTCCAGAAATTTTACTTCTGGGAATATGTAATAGCAGAACAATAATTTGAGGATAAACTATGTGCCTAAGGATGTTTGTTACAGATTTAAAATGTTTTAAAATGAAAATATGTTCAAAGTTCAGTAAAATGGGAACGTTGACATATATCTTGGCTATATCCACTTGATGGACTAGCGCACACACACGTTTAAAATGACGATTATAAAAATTAGAAAACTGCAAGGCAAAAATTGGGGAATAAAATTTCTATGTGAAGTATTATTTCCACCATGTTTAAAAATAAACAGAAGGATTCTTGGGAGTGGGGATTGTTTTGTTTTCTGTAGTTTTCAAAGTATTTATCTTACTATTTTTCTTTCTTGGCTGTGCCTCATGGCTTGTGGGATTCCGCGACCAGGGATTGAACCCGTGCCCCCTGCAGTGGAAGCTCAGAGTCCGTTAACCACTGGACTGCCAGGGAATTCCCTCTCTTACTATTTTTAATGAACACACATGTGTGTGTGTATGAAAGATGAGCGTATATAAATATAAAAATACAGTAAACATATATATATAAGTTTATATATAACATATATAAACTTATCATATATATATGATAAGTTTCACATATACATATGAAAGATGAGTGGGTTGTGTCACATGGAGGGGGCATTATAGAGACCCAGGCAATGGGCCATAGGTGTGGGATTCCACTCACCATGCATGTCTTTGGCGAAAGATTTCTAATCACGGTCTTTTCTCCATCCTTCACAGAGGAAACGTCTCCTGAAGCCAAACTCAATTCTGGAGGCTTTGTGAAATCTATGAGACAAGCAAACTGATGAAAAATATTGAGTATTTAGGGTAAAAAAATACATATGGACCATGTTTTATTTAGAATCAAGTTCTTGGGATTAGCTACCTTTCAAACTCCACAGAGGGTCTTAGTGATGCCTGTGATTCAGGATCCTAGGCCCTGTTCCCCTCTGTGGTGCTTTCTCTCCACTCCCTGGTGAGAGAGGGATGGGGAGACTAACACCCTGGAAATCAGAGGTGGGGGGCTAAGATCACCTAATAACAGAGGCAGGGATGGATGGGGACCAGAGTCCCTGTGCATGTAAAGGACTGTCTTCCGGGAGGGGATATGGAGGGCCAGTTCTGAGACAGGGAGTCCCTTGGCCATCTGTGCCCCTTGAGCTTTCTGCTAGGGTACCACCCAGAATATATGTTCTAAACGTACTCCATCCTCTCTCCCTCGTTCCCCCTTCCTTTCTCTTTTCCTTCCTCCTTCCCTTCTCTCTGGCTCTCTTGCTCTTTTTTTTTTTTTTTTTTTTCTACAGAACTATTTATTTAGTCCCTACTCTGTGCTGGTAGTGGGTTAGACTTTGCCCCATGGTGCTTGTAGTTTAATGGCTGAAATGGGTAAGCAAGTCAGGAATTATAGTATGGTACAAGATGTGCCATTCTAGAGATAAGCGAGGGGACTGGGGGAGCACAGAGGAGGAACAGCAGACCAGATTGGGGAAGGAGGACCGGGAAGACTTCCTAAAAGAGAGGACAGCCCACTGTGTCCTGAAGGCTGCGTGGGGATCAGACAGGTGACGAGGTGCAGCTAAGTGTGGCCCAGGCAGCAGTCAGTGGATATTCTCATGCGACAGTGTGTCGCTGGTTGTCTGACTAAGGCTGTGTGTGTGTGTGTGTGCGCGTGTGCATTGTGCATGTGTGTGTATGGGTGTACATGTGCATATGTGAGCATGTGTGTGTGCACATACATAATATACCAAATGGTCTAACATGTGGCCCAGGGAATGGGGAGAGGAAGAAAGAGAATGGGAAAGAAAGGAGGAGGAACAGACATAGAAAATGAGGAAAAGGGAAGTAGAGAAGAAAAAGGAAGGAGCCGGAGAGAGGGAAGTTGGTTAGAGTTGAATGGGATGATCTGAATCATCATTCTTGGACAATTCAAGGGATAGGCTCATGACAAGTTGACTCTTGGAGCCTTCCCTGTGCCTCGTACTGTGCTCAGATATGAGGAATTGGAGGAGTGTTGTCTCACCATCACTGATGGTGGAAGAAAGGAGATCACACACACAAAGAATAATGCTAAATACTGCAAATTTCAGGGCAGAGAGAAATCAAGGTGGGCTGAAAGAGTCAGAAGAGTCTCCCTGGAAGAGGTGAGTATTGAGAGAGCACGTCTCAGAGGCAGACTCTGCAGAACTGGCCAGAGTCCTGCTTGGGTCCTGACTGGGTGAGCCATGTGGGGTCCACTCTTCTGTGTCTGACAGAACAGATCTGGGTTCCAGGACTCAGGATGCTGCTGCTGGGAGCTGTTCTACTGCTACTAGCCCTGCCCAGTCATGGCCAGGAAACCACTGAAGGGCCTGAAGTCCTTCCCATCCCCAAGGGGGCCTGCGCAGGTTGGATGGCAGGCATCCCAGGGCATCCTGGCCACAACGGGACCCCAGGCCGTGATGGCAGAGATGGCACCCCTGGTGAGAAGGGTGAGAAAGGAGATCCAGGTAAGAATAAGGTCTTTAGTCTCCTCTGTCACAGACTTCTCCTGGGTAGAAGAGGGCTTCTAGCACTATAGGAGGGCAATAGTTATTAACTTAAAGTCTACACACAGGGAAGAAACAAAGCTTTTTAACGTGACCCATAAGTAACATGAAGTGGATTTGGGATTGGCTTTTCAAAGGTAAACACACGTGGTACCTTTAAAAGCAAGTGCCCTTGACTCTGCTCTACCCACACAACCTTCCCCAACCTCTTTCCATCCCCGCCCTCATCCATCCCTATTCCCAGTCTGCTCATATTCCTGTTTCCCTTAATTTTCCCTTAATTCCCATTCCATCCAGTGGCATTCAACCATACTTCCTGGTACCTCCTGCAGGCCACAGTCCTTCTCTTGGAGAACTCTTGCTCTAGTGCACAGGACTGTTAGAGGTTACTACAAGAGAGTCTGCTCCAAATATGCTGAAGTGAATGTGGACAAGTGCCTAAACTGTGGAAAAGAGAGAAAATGCCCTCAATGCAGACCTGGGTTAACAATGAAGGCTTTCAGGAGGAGGTGGGCCTTGAGTGAGGCCTCGAAGGATGTGTGGACAGAATAAAGGAGGGAGGACAGCCTAGATGGAGGGCAGAGAAAAGCAGATGTGTAGTTGGTTGAGCTGGCACATAAAGTGTTGGCAGGGTGGAGCATCGGTGATGGAGATGTATAGGAGATAAGGTTGGAGATGAATTTATGGGAGCCTGCTGTGGGGCAGGGGATGTGGAGGGGGAAGTGACAGCTGTCCGCTTTGGGAGCTCTCATTGGTTCCTTGCTCTGTAAGTCAAGCAGTTTGTAGGTAGGGGGACACAGGGACAGTGATTTAGGCTAGAACCCACCTAAACAGTAGTTCTGTTTTTGTGGTCACTAAGGTCTTCTCGTTCTCTAGGTTTTGCTGGTCCTAAGGGTGACACCGGTGAAACTGGAGTGACTGGGGTTGAAGGTCCCCGAGGCTTTCCAGGAACCCCAGGCAGAAAAGGAGAACCTGGAGAAAGTGCCTATGTATACCGCTCAGCATTCAGTGTGGGACTGGAGACCCGGGTCACCATTCCCAACATTCCCATTCGCTTTACCAAGGTCTTCTTCAATCAGCAAAACCACTATGATGGCACCACTGGCAAATTCTACTGCAGCATTCCAGGGCTGTACTATTTCTCCTACCACATCACAGTTTACTTGAAGGATGTGAAGGTCAGCCTCTACAAGAAGGACAAGGCCGTGCTCTTCACCTATGACCAGTTCCAGGACAAGAACGTGGACCAGGCCTCTGGCTCTGTGCTCCTCTATCTGGAGAAGGGTGACCAGGTCTGGCTCCAGGTGTATGGGAATGGAGAGAACAATGGGGTCTATGCAGATAATGTCCATGATTCCACCTTCACAGGCTTCCTTCTCTACCATGACATTGAATGAGCGCCACTAACTCAGAGCCTCAACCGGGCCAAGCAGCCCGAAGTCAAAGAACAGTCCACAGGTATTCAGTGTAGTTAGGAGACTGATTTTATTAACTAGCTGGAGGACTCTGAACGTTATTCATTCATCAAGTGCCTTTCCAAAAAATCATATACCGTGTTCCCAGACAGTCCAGAGGAAGACACATCCCTTGGCCTCAAAAATCTATTATGTAGTGGTAATACTAGAAGGATGGTGACATCTACTGGGGAGTTTCAAAACATGACAAGATAACCAACTACAAGAAAGTATTTGACAGTGCTATTCTGTGCCCAGTGTTTTGCTTATGTTCATGCCAATCCTGTGAAGTACACAGGAAAGATACTATTCTCCTCTTTTTACACTTGGGGTCCTGAGGATGAGAGAGTTAAGTGAATGCCTAAAGTCACACAGGCATTTAGTGGCAGAGTTAGAAATCCAGCCCAGGGCCGTGGGCCTTTTCCAGTATACAGTGCCCGTTTTAAGGAGTGTATGGTCTTTTGGAGGGTATTGGTAGGGCTCTCTCACCCAGCTTGCCTGAGGGCCTTTGGATTGGCCTTCACCATGCATTAAGCCTTTCCCCAGTAGCACTCCCTCGGAGAAGGTGGTTCTATGACTACATCCCTTTCCAACTGGACTACTCAGTGGTTCCCGCACTACTCCGTACATCCTCTTCTCTGTGTCTTTCCTCATGCTCTTCTCTCTGGCCCAGAAAGTCGACTCCATCTCCATATGTTGACATCTTCCCTGTTTCTCAAGTCCACCTGGTCAGGAAGCTTCTCTGATGTGATGTCTCTTTCCTGCAAGCCTTCCTCACACCTGTGCCCCTCTACATGTTACCCTGGATAAGAGTCCTAGGTCTGTGAAACGTCCTCCCACAGGCCAGGGACAACTGCCTAGAAAGGACTGTGCTTCCTTCATCCCAAGTCCCCTTGTAGGTCCTTGATAAATGCCTCATGAAGAGCAAGCACTGGAACCTCATATCTACCCAGAGTTAACTCCATTTCAGTCTCTCCGTATAACTAATACCTATCTAAGAAAACAGTTTCATTTTAGGAACTCCTTGATTTTAAACACCCAATCTTTGTTCCACTGGACAGCTTGAATCTTTTCCACCGAGGTTCGGGATGACTGTGCTTTCTAGAACACTCGAAGAATTTTCCCTCAAGGAAGGAGCTTGAGCCTTCAATGCAAAACCCATGAAGGAATTTGGAAACCATTCTTTCTTTGAGCACCAACAGGGTCTGGGAAGACCTGGGCTTCCTGAATCTACTCGTGTTCTTTAAGAATTATAAAGAAAGAAAGAAAAGGAAAAAAGAACTGATAACTGTCTGAGGTGATAGATATGTTAATTAGCTTGATTGTGGTGAATATTTCACAACATATATCTATATCAAATCATCAAATTGTACACCTTAAATATACACATTTTTACTTGTCAAATATTCCTCAAAAAAAGGGGGGGTGGATTACAGATGATTGATGGTGGTAAACATCCTCTCAGGAGACAATAGCTTGAGAGATGCTCTTCAAAGATTTTTAGCCAAAGCAGAGCTAATACCATTCTGCATAAATGTAGAAATGGAAAACTTAGTTTTTTGCTTCCAGTTTTAAATTCTGAATGATTTTCTTTTATATGTGTATGGCTATTCCTTAGGTGATTATTATTTCTACCTATAAAGCTTTGGTTTTTAAAATGTTTGTATATCATTATTTTCTACACGTAAAGATACTGTTGTTCAGCATTAAAAGTAGAAGCACCTGTATCACGTGGCTTTTGTTTTCATTTTTGGAGAAACACGTGGGATTTAGAGAGGGATGAAGGGGCAAACCTTGTGTTAATAAAGACTCTATTTTGTGAATGATGAATGAGATTTCCTTGCATCTCATTGGCTCTGGCTGGACTGTGTGTTCGTCTCTGACCAATCACTGGAGTCAGGAGGATGGAATATATTTATTTACTTAATTGATTATGGCTAAGCTAGAGAAGGGGTATTTTCATTAAGGCAAAATCTGGACACAGTTACCAGAGTGGGGGAATGGATGATGAATGCAAAAACTGTCCACAACAAACTTTTAATGTTATGTTTGAGTTTTCTCAGGTTTCTCAGAGAGGCATTGCTGGAAAATTGCTATTGATTTTTTTCTAAAATTTCAACAAATAGCTAATGTCTGGCCATGCTCACAGTCCCACATCTGGCTCGGGTGGGATCCTCACAGCACTGGACACAGTATCACACATACTCTAAGCTCTCTGGAACAGGGGTTGGCTTAAGTTCAGACTACAAGTCGTGTCTCACCTTCTAAGGGTGGTAATTCCAATGTTAACTCAGTTTTCAAGACTTTGCTATGCTATTGGGTCTATCTGTCACATGCACCACTCAGAGTTTGGTCTGGGACTTTAGTAGTTTAATTCTTGAAGACTTTGCTATGCTTCTTTGGGTCTGTTCTGCATGTGTACACTGGGAGTTGAGTCTGGGACTTACGTAGGGTCCCGAACAGAATTAGATGTCCTTTCCCAGCTCTTTCCTCTCTGGCATGTCCCTATATTCTCCAGCCCCCAGGGACCCTCCTTTCCTTGATTCTTTTTTTTTTT